GATCAGTATCTAGTCCAAAAAATAATATATAATTAACATAAACATGAACACAATGAACAGAGCCCAGTTTACACTAAACAACATTGAGGAATGTGCATTGTGTGTGTCCACCCTTTCCTAGGCGGAGGAGGTAAGATGTTGGTTGTTAATACACACACACATACATGCCCTTTCCGTCCGTCTAGTTCTCTGAATGGGGAACATCCTGTCTCTCATGAAGCAGGCAACAGCCACACCCTACTGATGCTAGACCTCAACTTTTTCTTGCTTGTGTCCAAAAAAAAAAAAGCATCTGACATCCTGAGCCACCTCTCGTGTCAAGTTGCTGAATTTTAGCCAAATCTGGATAAGAGTTGTAGTTTCAAGTTGGAAATGCCACTCAGACATTCAGACTCAAAAAAAAGGCTGTAAAGTCTGGGAGAGTAAAGCTGCGACCTCTGGATGCTGCAGTTTGAGGCTGAAGAGGAGCCTGCAGCTGCAACTGTCTCAGAGGTAGCCGAAACACTGAGGAGGTGAAATTTGAGTTCCACTAAGGTCACTTTTCTCTTAGCGTAAGCACAACGTGTCAATGTGCATTTGGCTGCTGGGATTTCAGATGAGTCAAACTTCTTTGGCTCAGCTCGGGACATCAGAATTAACCAACTCGTGCTGTGCAAACACATACGGGACAACAAAACAAAAAAACAAAAACGTAGAGCAAAAATGTCCTCTCCTGAATTAATAGAAGGGCCCTCACTGTCAGCTGCACAACTCTATTTAGTGTTATGTTACTACTGTGAGACATAAAAGGAGAATGACGGGCAGGGGAATCTGTCCAGCTGCATTTTCAGAGTGCAGAGAAACCAGTTTTGTAGCATGTCACGAGTGTGTCTATGAGGGTTGCAATGGTATGTGTAATGGTCTATTTAATTATTTATTAAATAGGGGGGGGGGGCTAAAATATAAGGAATTTTAGCACATATCAAAGTCCAATCATTTCCTCCCGACTCTTATTTTGCAGCCTTTGCTGATGAGGTCAAAAATGAGGTCAAAAAACAATATCCAGCAATGCTAATCCCATAAGAGTCCCTGTTTTTCCATCCTCTTACCATGACAGTGGACAAAACAGGATCTTTTATCAATAACATCAATAACAACAACAACAACAACAAGAGGAAGAGGGAAGAAGACAAACTGATTCTATAATGCATCAGGATTTGGTCTTTGCTGACAGAGTACACCTGTTACCTCCAGATGTGTCTCCCTGCCTTACCCAGTTTACACGCACAACACAGCTTATTGTGCTGCTGGGACAATTGAATCCACTTGTTTAACGGTCTGAATGACCAAACATAATGACAGCACTCATGGTATGGTGAGAACAGAAGAACAATGACTGTGTAGAGACAAGCCAAGCACAACTAAAGTGGCTTTGTGGTGCTCTTACATCTAACACTGCAGGATGTTTTAATAAGAATTGGGACAACTGTTGTCTTTACTGAGGGAAGATGCCTTTCCTTCTCACTAAAAATAAAGTGCTCACCAAAGTAGAAGCGGATCAGGCAGCCAATTTCAGGATTCATGCCCTCCTCCTGCACTCGCCATGGATCTTCAAACCCCAGATTAGTGAGGTACTCATTTAAGATCTGCAGAGGTCTTTCATCATCCCCAAGCCGCCTCACAGCTCCACCGTGCAGCTGGATGTAGAGGGCCGGCATTGGGCTTATATTGATGGGCTCAAGCCATCCTCTGCTCCCCCCAGGGACCTCTTGTTCAGGCTGGACAGAAGCTTGGCTGGTCAGAGGGCGAGCCTGTGAGCTGCTGGAGCATTTAGAAGGAGGTCTGATTAATATGTGTGTATCTGTGTGGTCACCAGCCCCAGCTTCAGTGTCAACATTTGGTCTTGCGGATTGGTTTGAAGTCTTGGGGATGTCTGAGAGAGAGATAGCTGAATGTGAGGGAGAAGAGATGAGGTCTGTTTCATCAGAGGAGCTCTCAAATGGGTCAGGTCCCTCTGGAGCGCTGTCACAGTTTGGGCTCAGCACAGAAGAGTCGGTGCCCAAACCCAACCCATCGCTGAGTGAGTCCCCGTGCTCCATGCTTCTTGGTCCCCCTGCACTGAAGTCCTCACAGGTGCTGCTCTCTATGTCAGAGCCTGAGTAGACTCCATAACAGTCTCCAGTACTCAAATCCACGCCAATGTCATTCAGGTAGACCTCAGATGAAGAATTACTAGCAGTTTTGTCATCAAGTAGCAAGTTAGAAGGCAGTTCCACATTTTTTGTGAGTTCATTCTCCTCACTTTGGAGATTTTTAATATCCACACTGTCACTGAGACTTTTCATGTCATCAGCATGGCCATTAGTATCTTTACAAAGATCGTTGAGGTCACTTAAAGCAGTAGGTTTGCAGTTAATTCTCAACACAGCCCCAGCTTTACTTCCTTCAAGCTTACAGGCTACCTCTTTAGAAGTAGTGTCCACTGTACACAGCACTGGTCGCGGGTAGGAGGGCGTGAGCCAGTCGTGGACGTGAATGCAACCCCGCCGGAGGTCCGATCTCACCCATGTTTTATCAGAGGCCTGAAGCTGCTTCGACTGCTTCTGTCGGAGGAAGGTTTTTCGATCAAGACTGAGGGTACTCAGCGGCGATGATGAGGGAGCTGGGCTGGCCGCCTCCGCAGAGGACGCTCCGGTCGAACCGGTGGTCGGCGGAGCCCCCAGAGACAGATTCCTCTTGTGCCTGTGCCGCCTCCTGCTCAGCATAGAGTTTACCGAGGTGGAACTGTTCACCGATGTCAGACTGTAAATGTTGGCAGTTTTCACAACGGACATGGTTGCGTTTTTGGCCGCTCCACCGATAGCGTTGGCAACTTGGCTTTGATAAATCCCGTTCCTTATCGCAATCTGGAGAAGGGAGGTGGCCGCAAGCCCCTTCCCGAAGAGTTTCGCTTCTGCGCCTCCTCCGTCATCCTCCCCGATAGATGGTCTCTTTCCAGAGTGCTGCGGCGATAATCCGCTTGGCTTCACGGAGTTACTGTCACTGCTAGAATCAAGTGTTCCCTGCAGTGTCGAAGAAGACGAAATCGCTCCACACTCGTTTCCCTTCACACTTTCCATTCTGTTAGCTTGCAACAGCAGCGTAGAGTAGTTAGCAGCAGCCCGCAGGTAAACGCTAGCAGTTAGCTTAGAGCCGCTAGCTCGCCCTAGTCACTGCTGGCTGGTAAACGTAAACGGCTCAACATTAGCTTAGCATACTAATGTACAGCGCAATTGCTCTAAAGAATTAGTACGCTACATCTTCCCATGACATCGGACGCCCGTTAGCTCTCTAACGGGAGCTTACCGGCTGGTGGAGATGAGAAAACGCATTTCTAGCTGGTCGCCATGGAAGCTGGCGCGACCACTACTGTACAGACTGCTCACGAATGGTCAGAGGCACACCGTGGACAGGGCGGGGTCTCATCGGATATGAATTATGACACATTCGCTTGCTACCAGAATGCTCGGAATTTTCCCAGTGAACGTACGAAAAGCTTCACGATCAGTCAACGTAGTTAAAATAACGGGGAAAATCCTATTTTCTCCAACGCTGGCTTTTAAGGAACAAAAAAGCCTGACAGTTAAAGCTCTGCACCACACCCTAAACCTTTAATCCCGAAATTACGAAATATTTACTTGGCTTTATGTAGTTTTTTTTTTTAGTCTAATACAATATGGAAATGAAATTATTTTTAGAAGTAAATATTTGTAAATCTATTATATGTTTGAGGCTTTGTACAAAACAAGCTAGGGATTAAAGGATCTGACAATATTTTGAAGACTATCAAGAATACAAGCAGCAGACGGACAAAGAGGGGAATTGATTGCCAGTTGCAGTTCTTATATGATTTGCAGAAATGTTTTCATCTAATTCACTTTACGATCCGCTTCGTAGGAGCCAGTGAAGGAAACAAACTGTAGCTACATTAGTTGATTTTGTGTTAACACACCCGGCGTGTTAATTTTCAACAGTAAAAGTATCTTTTTACTGGTATTAATGATCTTTAATTCTTCAACACACATTTATAATTGTTCTGTCGATGATATTTGTGTTAAATGCCGTACGGGTCTTATTAATCGATAACCCGTCATCTGGCGCCATCTAGTGGAAAATGGACGTTATTATTGAGATATTGCCGACACTATGTTATAGTCGTTGTACTGTTTTTTTCATTATACATATTGTCCTCCTAACCCCGATTTACCACAACGATCAGTGATCAGTCTCTGGTAAAGCACTATGAAATGCATTTAATCTGTATGAAACTGCCTATAGAAATAAATTTGTTAGTGTCCAATAGCACCAAAAATATGTGTTTAAAATGCTATTGCAGTAAAATGTAAGCATCCACTGAAGTAGCCACATCACTGCTAAAACATTGTGCTATTTATCTAGTGGTGGGTCTTGCATACATTAGATTTAACATTGCAACTGTTCAACTGCATGCAAAACAGTCATTTTTCACCAACTATTGAGTTTTACAAGTCAAATCAACCTAACTCAGTTTATTTGTATAACCCATTATCACACATGAAGGTTCAAAGGGCTTGGCAGACATAAACCATACAAGCAACAATTTAAGAAGTGACGTTACAAGGTAAATCATATCTTAGAGGACTCTGTTTCTCCACTCTCTAGTTTAAAAAAATGTGAATAGTTAACATTGAAATGTTGGGAGATTATGCAGAAGATTTGAATAGAGTTACCCTGGAGTGGAGATAACGTAGAACAAACATTTTTGTCAGCTCCCATGTGTGTTGCTGGCTGTTTTTTTAAGAGTACTGTGATTGGATTGTTCCAGCTGTCTTTTTCACAAACAGGGGTGGACACACAGTGAAGTCACACTGCAGTCCAACAGAGGGCAAAGTGCAAGCAGTGCTGTAACAGTGCAGTTTATCACGCTCTCTCTTGCTCTCCGTTCCTCCCTCCTCCCACCTCCTGTGAAGTCTCTCTCTCACACGCACACACACACATGTACACAGACTTTCACTCATCAGGCTGTACATTTGACTTCTTGTTTGCAGCACCAGAGGCCGAGGTAAGCCTGTTCCTGTTCTCTCTTAACACGTTACAGTAAGTGTGCGGCAGTGTTAGCCAACATCCTGCTTTCCCGCTTGAAAGCTTTCCTTGAAATCCAGTAGCCTCTGATGCTGGTCCAAATCTCTTTAGTGGTAGCATGTGATGGATGGTAAATTCAAAACGGGGGGCTAGGATTACCACTCCCACGCAGATGCAAAGATTAACCCACTGACACATTAAGACACTGAATCCCAGGAGACGTGTTTCCACTGGGCTTTAGTCCGTCTTAAGTCATTTAATCTTATATTAAGTCTTAAAATCTTGCCTACATTGCCAGTGGGGCTGTGATAATTCCACTCATTTCCATTGCTAACAACTTGCTTTGAGAATTCCTTTGAGTGAAGTGACATGATTTTGATACAAATGTTGCTGCAGGATTCAATTCAGTGTATCTCTGGGTTGGGGTGGGAGAATGTGTAAGAAAATAAAAAAATCTTTGTGGGGATCAGTTGGACTAAATGGAGATTAGCTTAAAGCTCAGGACAAAGGAGACTTTAACGGAGAGCACAGAATTGGACAATAGATCCTAACCACCACAACCATGGTGGGACATCGCTGTCAATTTCACTTGTGTTATTTTGTGAAAACACTTTCAATTTCAAACAGCCCGTTTGGCTGAGTTAACAAATCAAACCCTGGCTCTGCTCCTTCTGCATTTAAGAGGGAAGTCTTTCGCTTGTGAGGAGAAAAATAGAGAAATAAAGATGGCTAATCCATTTTGAAATGCCTTCCTTTAAAAGGGGAAAGAGAGGCTGTAATTGGATGTGACCAGTTTGGGCTCCCTATGGCAACATGTGTATATGCATGTGTGCGGTTAAGTCGCACACTTCCGTTTGTTTTGCTTCCACAGGCGGAGCGCGGACAAATTTAGATTGCAGCAGTCTTAAAACGTTGGAAAAACAGCCCAGAAATACATCATTGGAGAGCAGTCAGTCATTAAGAGTGTTTACCCAACCCTGTCAGAAAGGGCTCACTCGAAAACAGCAGTGCAACAAGTCCAGTTCACAGACAGTTAAGATTTAAACCACCATGCTGTATATGTATGCGTGCATTCTGAGGCCAACGGGTCCCTGAGCACAGATGTGTAAAAGCCCCCCCTCCACCCCTGCCCCGCAGTCTTTTTGGTGTGTGTAGTAGTTTGCAGTAGTTTAATGATTCTTGGTTACCTTTATGGCTGAGTAGGGTTTTTTTTTAAATCTATTTATAGTAATTTTGTAACTCTATCTGATTTGTATCTCATTTTAAGCATTAGCTATCTCTTTTTAGTCCTTTTTTTGTCTTTGTGTTGTTCTTAGTCTGTCTTTATGTTTTTGCGTCCTCTCCCCTTAGTTTTTGGTACTCCGGCTTCCACCCGCAGTAGAAACACATGGAGTTAGTGTGGTTACATTAATTGGTGACTCTAAATTTCCCACAGGTGTGAATGAAAGAAGAAAAAAAGTCGTCTGTCTCTAGGTGTTGGCCCAGTAACAGGCTAGTGGTCTGTCTAGGGTGTACCCCACCTGTTGGCCTGTGGTACCTGAGATAGGCTGTAGCAGCCTATTGCTTCTCTTAAGTGGTTTTGTGTCTCTTTGGAGTCATTTCGCATCAATGTCAGCTCATTTTGCATCTCTTTGCAATTTGTTCATGTCTGTTTGCACTTATTTTGCATCTCTCTGCTGCCATTTAGTCTTTAGAGGCTACAGTAAAGCTGTCAGCTATCCTAGCATATTCATTTCTTTCATTGTTGAAGAACTCTAGATTCTCAGGTTCAGTCTTGAGCAGCTTGAGGTTTACAAATCCTGGTCCTTTGCCAGTCTTTTTTGCTTACTACACTCAAAATTGGAGACAACATAATAACAAAAAAACCCAAAAACTGTATCATTCTCCAAAACGTCCTGAAGACTTTTTTTTGACGCAGTTCTTGGACACACAACATAACTTAGAGCTTAATTTTTGGCAGCTAAATTAAAAAAAATGTAGTTCCTTTAATGACGCAGGCTGCTGCTGCAGTAGATTATTCCTGTATGTTGTTTCAATGAAAATGCCTGTCTCTGTTTACTTTGCTGTGGTCACATGGTCAAGATAAAAGCAGGTCAACCACTGCTCTTGTCACACTAATTTCTCTTCTACTGTGTGTGGGTATCACTCCTCTAGATATCAGAGATGGGCAGTAACGCGTTGTAATCTGATTACTTTTTTCAGGTAACGCGTAAAGTAAGGGATTACTATTGCAAAAACGGTAATTAGATTACCGTTACTTTCCCGTAGGAACACTGCGTTACTAAAACCGTGATTTTTTGCGAGAATGTCTCACGACAGTGACGTAAGCGAGTGCGCCGTTAGTGACAACAGCTGTGTGCAGATCAACAATGGATCACATATCGAGTGCGGGAGAGAGTATGAGCGTGCAGCGTTTAAAGCGTGGAAGTACTGACCTTACTTTGAGTTTGATTCCATAAAAAGTGACAAAAACATTAGCGTCCGTTGTGCGTGGGAAGAAAACTTCTTTTTACAGCGAAAAAACCCTAAACTTCCAAGCAAGCACTGAGTGCCCTATCACGTAATGGGAAATTCACAGAGAAACTCGCGGATTCTTCCATTGACCGCGGCACACCTGCACCAGGGTAAACCTCCGCCTACCACAGTCCTGCTTTACAGGTGAAAATAGAGCAACAGGACCGCTGAGTCTTTGACTTTATTTATTTTCTGCTGTGTTTTACTTGCATCTATTTGAAAGACTGAGTGTAAAGACAAAAAATATTTTTTTTTTATGTGCTGGAATGTGCAGAAAATAGGTTTAAATGTTAAACTAATTTATTCAAGTCAGAATGTTGCTTATAGTTTTATTTTTGCTTGATGCATAAAGTTAAAAGATTAAAACTAATAAAACAAGTTAAAAAAGAGACTTTTCCATTTGATTACATTTTGTATGATGGATTATGCAGAAAAAGTAGAATTGGGCTGAAAGATCTATCACTTTATCACCTCTTCAGGTTGTAAATCGTGTTTTTAAAAAGTAACTAAGTAATTAATTACTTTTGAAAATAAGTAATCAGTAGAGTAATGGGATTACTTTTTTGGGGAAGTAAGCGGTAATTAGTTACTGATTACTTTTTTCAAGTAACTTGACTATCCAATGGATTTTAAAGGGTAGACCTTTTATTTCTTTGTTCTAATTTTAATATAATTTTGTATGCGCAGCTTTTCAGCTTAACTTTTCACACTTTCACAACTGACAATAAAAATATTATATATATATAAACATATATAAACACAGTCAAACGATACCTCTCTGCTATTGCTTTTAACATGTTTTTATATATATATATATTTTTTGCACATTTTTGTTTTGAGTTCTTACTATGAAACGGCACATTCATTGGTTGAGCATGTCAAGGATGATTCTTCTCTGAAATTCTTGGAAATTCATGAAAATTGACATAACGTTCTCTCTTTGACCTGAAAATAACAGCAAAACCCATAAACTTAAAATATTTACTGAGGTCGTAGAAGATGGAAGCTGCCTTTTTGTAACTACAGGTTATATCCACTTATCCACTATATCACTGTCAATAACTTTAAGTGATGAAGAATTCTATAACTTATTACAATATTTGCATTAATGTGACAAAATTTTGATTTGTGACTTGCTGAGTTGTTAACATTATATATGGTCTAAAAATGGCATCAAAAGTAAATATCTAAAGCATGTTATTAAGGACAGAAAGCTACTTCTACATTTTATACTAATGTTACATGTGTAATATAGTATGAATATTAGTTGCTGTCCACATAGTGAAGTGTTAGTTAGCAAAAAGCATTTTTAGTAGTAAATCTCATCAGGTTCAAAACATTTATTTACTTGAAATGGATATCAACATGTTTAAAAACTCTAAGAGGTGCTACTGTCTTTCTAGAATTATCATTTTTAGTACCCACTTGTTCCTATTTTAAAGAGAAACTGAGTGAAATGACTGACTTTGTCAGCTAAATAACGGAACAGAAAACAAAGTAGCATAGCTAGTCAAAAGGTTCCTGCTGATATGACTTTTCTTTTTTCGAAATATAGGGCCAGTAATGCTTAAAACTTAAAAAAAGACCTTTGTCAAGCTGTTCCAGTCATGAGACTGAAAACAGCTCAGCCACATTTTCCATGTCTTGTCAGAATCAGTGTTTTCAGGTTTAGTGCTGATGAGTAATGAGGTTAAGATTTGGTGTTTGTGGCTCATTGTTAACTCTTCTGTGGTTGCAAGCTCAGTAAGGCTTCCGGTGACTAAGCTTTTGGTTGTCCATGACCTTGCTTTGTTTTAGCAACACATCATGTAAAAGGCTTTGTAAGACTGATCGCATTTGAACTCAGTCCCATGCTGTGTAAGCTGAAATGCAGAAGTGCAGCCGATGTGACACAAGCAAGTCTCACTTCTCTAAATTTTCTTCAGCTATTCTTTTTTTCACCCGCTGTATCCCTACTTGGGTCTTTGCAGGCAACTGTGTGACTGAAACCAACTATGGAGGAAGCACATAGAATGGATCTGACCTACATCACTGAACGTATCATTACCATATACTCCCCTCCCGGGTGTCCAGAGGAGATCTATCTGCAGAACCTATGGGAGATTATTCCCATGCTGCAGTCCAAGCATGGACAAAACTACATGGTGAGACAAGTAGATGAGATAAAGATAGCTAGAGAAATTTTATTTTTAAAGGTAATTGAAAAGCAAACCAAACTGATTCAGAGATTTGAGAGACAGTGGTCTGCTTTTATAAAAAATTTAATATAATTTAAACAATTATGATGCTTCCCGTTCATACATTCAGTTGTTTTACTAATTTCTTTATTTCAAAAACAATATGGAAAGCATCAAAACAACCACATAACACAAATCAAATGCATACTATGATGAACTTAAAACATTTTATTTAGTTTATCATTTTTCTCATTACACTCTTCCTTTCGTTGTAGTATAATTTGTCTTATGTTTGGAAGTCTTTGTTTTCTGTCCTTGAATGACTGGATATGTTTTATAAGTTACATATAGCTCTATATTAGGATAAATATTATAAAAGTTCCTTACTTGACCTTGCTTCCCTAATCATCATGTTCCTCATACCTAGATGCAAACATTCAGGTAACTGTAAGGTTAAATGTTAGTTAATAAATGTTAAACCACAGAAAAATCTTGTATGCAACCAGCAGAAGTGATTGATTTATTTTATCTCATGCAAACAACCCTTTTTTCAGCTCATCAACCTCTCCCGGAAGCATGACACTGTGAGAAGACTCAACCACAAGGTAATTCTAATGCACTCAGTTTAAATGTCACAATGTAAAACTGTAAGCAGGTACTATAGCGCAACTGGGGCTTTTTCCGTCAGGTTTTGGACACAGGATGGGTGGATCTCTTGGCTCCCAGCCTGGATCAGATCATTGGTGTGTGCACAGCAATAAAGAACTGGCTGAACGCCCATCTAAAGCATGTCCTCGTGTTACACTGCAGGGTAAACATCACTGTAGTCACTGACACTGGCATGTTCTCTAAAGGCATTTGTGCGATGTACGTAAGCACCTAAATTTTATTTATCCTGATCTTTTGACTGTTCCTAACAGGGAGGAAAAGGTCGACTTGGAGTTTTGGTGGCATCCTACATTCACTTCACCTCCATCTCAGCCAGGTAACACTGACTTTTTAAACAGCAGGGAAAGTTTCTGCTGTGCTGGATATTGGTTGTGCATAGGGACTAAATAACTGCACTGCCATTATGTAAAACAAAGCAATATCACATGGCTTAGGTCTCATCTTACACTAGTGTCCTTGGGGTGGAGTTAATATAAAGGGATCTAGATCACCCTAGTCATCATACTGGGTTCAGGCCATATTTGTTTATAAAATGTAGCCTGCTGTCAGTTTTCGAGGTTTTTCAAAGGAGTTCATCCTACAGCAAGATAATAGGCCAGGGGTGGGCAACTCCAGGCCTCGAGGGCCGGTGTCCTGCAGGTTTTAGATGTGTCCTTGATCCAACACAGCTGATTCAAATGGCTAAACAACCTCCTCAACATGTCCTGAAGTTCTCCAGAGGCTTGGTTGCCCAACACATGAGAGAAGTGTTACACATCTCCAGGGTCAAACCTTAAGTTGGTTTTTGGATGAACTAGAGAGAAGGGAGAAACTAAGCAGGACTAAAACATTTTTGAGACCTTCTGCAACAGTGTTAGTATAAACTTTTTTGTTTCATTTTGGTGTTTGGCTTCTGAAATAAATCAAGAAACTATGCATGGATAGCTGGATCAATAAACCGTCTTTTAAAATTTGGGATCAGGCCTAAACACAGGCCTCTTCTCTTCTTGGGAGTATAACCTTACATTTTGATACAGATATTGAAGTTTTGCAAAGGATTCATCCTAAATTCTCATAAAATGGACTTCTCGGAGTGATGCAAAAAGAATATTTTCATATGTTGTTGTGTCCAAATAACCTTTCAGGCTCTGGACTTCACATGTTGGTAATGTTATCTCTGATTACATCAAAGTGCAGGAAATGGAGCTGTGAAGTATTGCGCCAGTAGTGACATTTAGTGCTGGACATGTTTGCAGATCAAAGAGTGCTGATTGAACAATAGACAGAGGGAATAGTGGCTGATCTGCTGCGTGTCTCCACCAGGCAAAGGGCAGCACGGCTGACAGTAGAGACTTTGAACTGTGATTATGTTTGATTTTTGGGCAGGGATCCTGTTTCTGTTGGACACCAGTGAATACATTTACACCGACTCTGAGCAAACACAAGAGCCTTCATAGCATCATCATATAGCTTATGTGTGATTTTATGGTCCACAGCTGAACTATTAAAATGATGTCCTTGTTTTGCCACATCTTATTATGGCATGTTGGGAAAGTTCAATTTGAGGCAAATCACTAAAAAAATGCAGAAAAAGAGGAAACTTCAGACACGTTGACAGTGCATGTGTTCCATACTTGAACACCTCACTCTTATACATATATATATACATCAACATGAAACACTAGAACATTATCTAAAAATGTGTCTGTCTCTCAGTGCAGACCTTTCCCTCGACCATTTCGCCATGAGGAGGTTCTACAATGACACACTCTCTGCTCTTATGACCCCTTCACAGAAACGGTAAAGATTTACATGACTGATTCCTGGAGGTCAAAGTTCAACTGTGGTTCAACTCTAAACCTCTGCTCTGTGACCAAAACATCTGCCATTGACCTCAGATCGCATGCTCATTGATCACCTGATTGACCGTTTTGTGAAACAGTTAACATAATAAAGCTACTGAGAACCAATGGAACCAGGGAATTCAGTGAAAATCTAACTATACTGTCTTCCATTTCTAATAATGTTATAGATACAGACTTTCTTTCTGCTTTTTCAGGTATGTATGGATGCTGGGCAGCATATTAAAAGGCAGACTAAAGATGTCTCCTTCTCCATCTTTCCTGCTCTGTGTTGTTCTTTATAGTCTCCCCAAACTAAGACCAGATGGAGGTAAGCAGCACAAACAGGTTTGGCATTTTAGCTCATGCAATCCTGATTTTTTTTCTCTTTTTTTTTTCAATTAGTTGTGACCATATATTTAACCTGGGATAGCTGGGATAGCAAAGCTCATTTGTAGTTCACTATAAGATTATGGGACGCAGATATGAGCTGATTAAAAACAGACTTAAGACACACCCCAAAAAACTGAATGTACAACTCAACAAGGTAAACTTCTGCATAACTTTATGGCTTATTAAAATTAAAACAGGTGAGCTAAATAAACATTGAAAGTGAAAAAGTAGTCATAGAAATCAAAACCTTTTTTTTATACCAGTCTGTTTATTTCAGCCATTTTGACATGAAAATCTATGGATTTTTTGTTTTGGAGCGAGCCTCAAGTGGTTATTTCACCAACTGCAGTTTGTGACATTTCCTTGCAATGTAGAGGAAGGAGAGATGTGATTTGAGCCTTTATGGGCCTAGCAAGATACCCATTGTTTTAATCTAGAGATCCTCAACACCTCGATCAGATCTTTACACATAACATGACACAATTTCAAAATTCAGCAAGGTAGTGAAAACCAAGGTGAGCCTTGCATGTTATTGTAACAGAAAATGAAAAAAAAAACCTGTATATACTTTATATATATATAAAGTGCCTTGGAATCACTGTTGTTGTGAACTTGCTTTATCTGTCTATCTTTAGTCAAAGTTTTCTTAAACTACCCTGTTTAACTTGAATTATAATATCTCTGTTGATGTTGTCTCAGGATGTTTCCTGTTCTTGAGGGTCTACCAAAGTCTACAAGCTGTTTGCACGTCTCCAATTTAGTAAGAAATACATAATCTACACACAGTAAACACAGTAACCGTGGAGCTTACATAAAGCATAAGGTACTAATATGTGCATCTCATGTTCATCTCAGCCATGTTAATGCAGCTGAGACAGATCGCCTCTACATTGTGCTTCAGCCCGCTCAGCTGCTCAAAGGGGACATCATGGTGAGTTGTGATACTCTGTATATTTTGATTTTTATCAGCTAACTGATGAGCAGATGTTTACACAAGAGTAAGGAGCTATTGTTTAATTTTGTAAACAATTTTTTGAACATGTGTTGATTTTGAATTTTTCATTCTTCAAGAAATATGAACTTTCATGAATGAAAAGTTTATTAAAACTTTTCACCTGAATCGAATGCTCCCCTGTGGACTGATTTTTGAATATCTAGCCCCATGTCTAACCCCTCCGGCACTATTACTACTACTACTACTAATAATAATAATAAACATTTCTGTAATTGGAGGACACATCTGTGTTGCATTATTTGAATATTACACTTGCAGTTATATGTATATATATGGTTTTAATGGTTTATTTGTGCATCTGCATGTATGCATGAGTGTACATTTTTTTGCTTGAGCACCAACAGGACAAGTTAAACAGAACTGACCATTCTGTCTAATGCCAGACCCAAATCTATCTTTGTTTTAATCTGCCTAAATTTTAAATGTAACTTTTTAAAAATCTTTACAAAAAAAATGAACAGTCATGTTTTATTTTTTATTTGTTTTTATTACCGTCTCACTGTCTGTTTGTAGGTGGTTTGTTATGACAAAAACAGCCGGTCAGCCAGTCGTCAGGTCGTCTTCCGGCTCCAGTTTCACACGGGCCTCATATGTGGACACGCCCTCACTTTCTCAAAGGCGGACCTTGACTGTGCCAGAGAAGGTATTTATGACCTGCTACCTCAGCCTACACACTGCCAGGTGCAGTCTTAGTGCAGCACCACTATCAAGCTTAATCAGTAACTGATAAATCTATCAGCCAGTCTGCTCTCCATCTACCTGAACTAACCCTGGAACCATATCAGCTCCGCAGGTGTGAAGGGCACATGGAAATATGCACAGAATGCCAAGTTAGCTGTCCAGCTCTCTGATCTCTCCCTTAACATTCCAGATGCCCGGTTCCCAGAAGATGGAAAAGTAGAGCTGCTATTCTCTGAAAGTCCTGAAAAAATTGCAGGTAGGCTGTCTCTCACAAAAAACTTTCCTTTGATGTGTTCTTCAGTAAAGCTTGTATATGCATAATCATAATTTTGGTTAAAATATGATGCAGGTGTTGCAGTTTCTGGTGGATATTAAGAATTCTCATTGAGCCAGCTAAAGTCTTTTGATCCTGTTTAGAAACATAAAACATTTTTATATACTCCACCACTCATTAAAAGCAGATCGTTTGGCAGCTGCCATTTGTAGAATAACTACAGTACTGTTCAAAACTCCTGACCCACTCCTCATTTCTTTATATTTTTTTACGAAATAGAAAAAAGATGCAGCGCTTTATTGAAATATTTGCACAAGTATGGAAATACAGGATATAAGGTAAAAAAAACTGAGTTTGTGCAATTCTAATAAGCTTGAAAATCAATATTTGCTATGACAGCTTATTTTTCAACGCAGCCTGAGTTCTCTTAGGCAAGCTTGGGTGTAATTTCTTAAGTAGTCTCCAGGAATAGTTATCCTCTTTAAGGACATTCAAAGCTCTTCTTTGAATGTTGGCTGACTTCTGTTCTCTGTCGAGATGAGCCCACACTGCTTCGATAATGTGGAAGTACATTATCGAAGCAGTGTGGGGAGGCCAGTTCATGACTGAGAATATTCAGTTTTTCTATCCAGGTATGCTTTTACTCCACTGGCAGTGTGTTTGGGGTCATTGTTGTGCTGAAAAACTAAGCTGTTGCCAATCAGATGCTTTTCAGATGATACTGGATGGTTGATCAAAAACAGCTGGTGCTTTTCTGTTTTCATATTTCCATCGGTGTTGTCAGAATCTTCAACACCACTGGCTGAAATGAAGCTCCAAACCATGACAGAGCCTCCACCAATGAGTCAGACTTTCTCCTAAAAACGTTCTAAGGCTTTCAGATGCCTGGAAAACTATTGCTCTAAAGCACTTTGGCTCCTTGGAAGGAAAATATAAAGCAATACTATATACCAAGATACATTGTACTGTATCTTAAAAGAAATGTATTTGCAGGTCTCAAGCAAAAGATTTCTTCTTCATATAAAACTTGATCTGACTCACGAATGTATTAGTGCCAAGTTATGCATGACAGTTGCCCTAGAAGAGCATAGACATAGTGGGTCAGTACCGCACATGGGTATTAGTGTCAGGGTAGAAAGAAATTACTCATATGAAAGCATTACTCATACACAGATTCCTAGAAGTCAAGCATACTGTTAGATCAAGTCTAGTCTAGCTCCAAACCACATTTGCCTTTTTTTAAAATATATATACTTTTGGCTCAGCTTGTACCCTTGCAACGGATTTCACAAATAAATAAATGCTATATCACTTTAGCTTGCCCACAGTTTCTGTGTGCCTTTAAGCAACTTTGCAACTCAGCCCCACTCCAAATTTGGAGTTGAATAATTCTGGAACAGCACCAATAACATTAGCATCACCAGCTCCTTGTTCACTGTTTGCTGCAGTCTTTTAAATTTCACTGGCCTAGTGATGGAGAAAGTGAGATGAAATATTTGGTGTCTTACAGAAACAGAGGAAGTTTTTTTTTTTTTTTTTTTTTTAAATAGTATTTGATTGCAGCCTTTATTACAGGCATTTATAATTCAGGTCACAGAACACACTGCATATCACCACACTAGCTATGAGAAAATATGTCTTGCTCTTTAAATCAGTAATAACACAATAAGATACAGAAAAGATTAGATTAGATTGTTAATGCCAGATCCAGAGTCAGTCTCGGAGTCATTACTCCAAATAAGTGCATATTACACATTAGTTATTATTGTAGTAATAATTCTTTACTAATTATTACGAACTAATGTGTTAAATTATTCAGTTACTTCCTGGAGAAAGTCATTTCTTACACTACTTTAGTGTTACTCTGTAACAGGACATGAAAAGCGCCGTTGTATAATTATTAGTTAACAGTACAAAAATTATGCTAGAGTCCCACACACTGACACAAATCTCTATCCTGAGGATGAGGGTGCACAAGGTCTTTCTTTTAGTGTTTCTATATCAACACAAACCCCAACAGCAAAGTTGAAAAGCAGCACAAAGAGCACTTCACAGCCATCCTCACAGCGACTGTACTGGAAATGGTAGCAACAAAGTCCTACTGCTACCTGTTACCTGTTTGAGTTTAGGTGATAGCTGCTTGTCTGGGGTCAGCATACAGCTTAACTCTTGAATTAAATTGATAATCCAAAAAAATGAAAGATATACTCTACTATGATATTCTTTTTTCATATATTACCAATAAAAGTAATAAAATAGTGGAATTTTACAAAGAACATATCGATGAGAGTTTCCATGTTAAGTTAGATAGTAACTCTGTATTATTACATTTTTAATGTTTAAATTACTAAAAATGAGTCATCTTTGTATTGATTGTGCATTTTGTTGTGTAACAGCTCTTTGCTTTTGTATATGTGTTTGTGAGCTGTCATGAAGTGTGGAATCAGAAGAATGCAAATGCGGTAATGCGGTAACCAGCAGATTAAACCAAAAACTAACCTTTAATTAAATCTGTAATGCAGTAAAGCAAATGTCCACAGAGGGAAAAGTCAAAATCCAAAATTCTGCAGAGAACAGGGAGCAGATGAGGAGAGCTTAACAGATGATCTGAAAAAGAACAACAGAAATTGGCTATAAATACACAATTAAAGGAACCAGGCAGGGTTGAAATTAATCAAGACAGTGATGCAAAAGAAGCAAAAAAATGCAAGACAGAAGACTACCTAAATAAAAGAGGAAGTGAAATAGATATAGACAGAGACAAGAACAAGAAAAAGCACTTAGGGAACAACTTAAACAACTTAAACTCTAGCATAAGGACTACATTAAATGTATACTTCCAAGCGTTCCTGCAAAGTCTCACAATTTGACACATAAGATGAAATCCAATGGTGATGATAAAACAAGACACTTAGACAAGTATTGCAACCAGCTATACAACATGCCTACTTGTAATTTGTTTGATTGTTGTGTAGCCCTTGATGACATATAGATAACCCTTTAGAGTTTTCATTTTCAGTTTTTCAAGCATCAGCGCTGCCAGCCAAACAAACTATGTTTAGTCATTTGCTCCAGAGCTGCAGTTAGCTAGTCAAATCACATTATAAATATGTTCCAAGAGGAAATGAAAAAGAAAATGGGCTCTGTGCTGTGCTGTACAGTTAGTAAAGGATTGCTAGCTTTGCTCTTGCTAATGGCTAATAAAAACTATGCTAGATCTTTTTTGGGGGTGTTTCTATGGCAATCATACCAGCAATGATATGCCCCAAAATGTCACTTATCACACCCATCTTTAAGCACTGAAATATATCTATCATAACTTAACTTCAGTCAGCTTGGCTTACAGACTGGTCAGTCAGCAACCTAATGGCAACATTTAGACTTTGTTCTAAGTTTTAAAATGGTTTTCAGTAATAGCTCTCCAACTTTGCTTTGGATTTTGGCCAATTTTCTATTAATTTTAAGTGAAAATAAGTGGCAACAGGTCCTTTTGGAATTCAGGTTCATGACAGTGACCCCAAACACATTGCCAGTGCAGTAAAAGCATACCTGGATAGAAAATCACCCAATGCAACACTGTCGTCAAAGATTGGCCTCCCCAGAGCCTGGACCTCAGCATTATCTTGGGTTGTCACTTGAAAGTGAACCCAAGATCCAAAGAAGAGCTTAGTAATGCCCTTCAAGATGCCTGGAGAACTACTGTTTTTGTCTCTCTGCGATACCCCTCAGATATTCTGACTTTTATTTTCTTGTTTGGTGAAAAACCTTGAAAAATCCAAACATGTAGCCCCTCTAATTGATGCAGCAAGACTATATTCATATTATTTGGATTAAAAGGCTGCACCAGGCTTCAATGTGTCTTTAATTCAAGCAGACAAGACAGGAGTCAAACTGAAGAATAACACACTCTGACACATTGCCTGTGAATGAAATGATCGGTAAGCCAGGTGGGGGCAGTGTTGGACACCACACTGGCCAAACTGGCCATCATCAACTGTAGTCACACTCCTTTCCTCTCAACAGGAAGCAATACACAGAGATATCACACACACACACACACACACACACACACACACACACACACACACACACACACACACACACACACACACACACACACCTGACAGGAATTCAGATTGTAGATACTGTGCACACAGGAAATACATACAGCCGGACTCACAAACACACACATCTTAATGAGCTGATAGAAATCAGAGTCTAACCCAAAATAAGGCTCACAGCAATATTTGAAGCAGATTTGCTGCAGGATCGGCTGTTGGGGATTTGCCCTAACACCAGTGTTTGAGTTTGTGTGTCTTGTTGTTGTTTCACTGACTCCTGACCAGCACTGTTTGTCATGTGTAGGCAGAGAGCTATGGCACAATGGACGCTCTGTGACAGTGGACTATGACACCTTGGACCCTTTGGTTAGACGAGACTCTTATCAGGACACATCTTGTCTAGAAACAGGTGAGGTGTATTTTAATATTTCTTAATCAGAAATTCCCCACATTCTTCTCCTTCTTTCAGTTTCTTTTCCTGTTTTTTGAATTTCTGTACTTCCTCTGAATTTATTATTACCCATGGTTGAACAGGATAACATTTTGTCTGAATACCCCTTTTGTTGGGAGATAGATTAGCTTGTCTTCACTGCTTTAACATAGTGTATATATAAATACAACAAGAAAAAAAACAATAAAGCTATGTCTGTGATAGAGAAATGGTCGCAAAATAAAAGTAAAAATAAATACATTTAAAAAAAAACGTTACACACATCTAAGCAGGTAGTGAACCAGTAAAGATGCAATTTCCATATGGGCAGATAGCTTTAGTACCTGCTTTACAGCCACCCTGTCCAATGTAACAAAATCTAGGATTACATAATCCCTCTATATCGTGCTCATGTTCACACAAAGGCTTTTAGTGAAATAAAGCAGACCAGTATAAAGCATAAAAATATCTGGGTTAACTTTGTCCAAAGTGAGAATTTGTGATTTATATTATTCACCCATTCACACACCTTTGTACAAGCCCTTGTTTCTACACCCAAGTAGAGCGTTCACACTCCAATGGACACAGCAGAGAGCTCTTTGGGATTCAGTATTTTGCTTTGGGACACTTCGGCAGGTAGACTGGAGCAGCCAATGATCAAACCACCAACCTTCTGATTAGTAGATAACCCGCTCTACCTCCTAAATACAGCCACACCAATAGCAATAGCAAAGACTGTAAAGAATATTTTTGCATTGAAAAACAAATGCAAAATAAAAGCTTACAATTGGTGAAATAACCCTTTACTAGAGCAAGCATTATAGTAATGCTGAAGTAGCCTACTAGGGAAGGACAGAGGTTTAAAAAGTGATTGCAGTAGCTCTGTATGCAGCCAGAGTTAAGCCAGCTTCCCTCGACAGCAGCCAACTGCAGCCACAATTACAGCTACTAACAGTAATTTAAAGCAGTATGCAAGTATCTCAGGAGCTTTATAAAAATATCCTGTTTGAGGTTAAACGAAAGTGATCACTTTCATTTAATGTGTTTTTAAGTAATGTCCAATGTTAGATTTCACTGGGCAAGGACTGGTGGCCTTGCTTATCCAAATGGAATGGTGTAACTTTGTCTTGTTACTTTTTTAAAAGAAAACTTCTCTGACTTCGATGAACTCCCCTTCAATATTATATCCTTTTCGGTCTCCAGCTTTTAACACAGCCCATACTCTTAAATTGTGTCCTTGTAATCCTTTTATGGCTATCTGCGCCTCTACCATGTGAGTTGAATCTTCTGCAAAATAGAGACCCCCTGTATGCCATATTCCTGCCAAGAGCCTTTTCCCCAAGGGACCAATGTATGGTGCCCTGATTTGTTGATATCAAAAATGGACTAGAAAAGTATTTTGTTGACATTTGCTGAAAACTACTGGAATATATCAGAGATACCCTTTAAATAATATTTATCTCAATTTGAAAGAGAAGGTGATGTTTGCTGTCTGAAGGTTGTGCTGAAAATGCAATTAAGAAAGTGGTCCAAGGAACATAGTTCTTCCAAACAATCTGGAGATGGAAGAGACCACGCCTGCCAAATTTGCATCAAGCATATCTTTCGAATTTAAGGTCCAATCCCAGAATTTTTTATAAGGTGATGATATGTCAAATATTTATATATCTGTGTGTGTTTTGTAGCTTTTTTGGTAACCTTTCCATTACAGTACCTTTGGCTGTTATGTAGTAGTTAATACCCTTAGATCCCTGAGATTGTCTGTTTGGCCTTTGCTGTGGCCAGTCTTGTGGGTAATTGCCTGGTCATCAGTGTGACAGCTTACAACTGTTGTGGTCACAAAGGCCTCTTTGACATTCCTGGGAACGGGTGTAATGCCAATCTTTGAGAGCGCAGCCAGACCAGAGCTGTGTGTTTTGGAGGCGGGTGTGGGTTTTTAAAATTTTTTTTATATGAAGTTTCCATTAGGTGGAATAAATGTTCACACACAGGAAATAAACAATACAAAACAAGACCTCAAAATCGAGACAGCTGAAACAATCACTTGTAAGTGGAAGGTTAAGGCTTCGGTTCCAGCTGTTTTGCTAAACCTGCCCATGGTCAGCCATGTAATTTAGATAGAGCTTTTGCAAGCGGCATGTAAACACACATAGACACACGCTCACATGAATGCAAACAAATAGCCATTACACGTTACACATAAGCGTAGTGAAGGTGCAATGCCAGTTAGCCGCACAGACACTTGCAAGAACATTGTTTTCAATCACAGACGGTTCTGCTTTGCCCTCCCACACACTCCTCCTCACTTTATCTCCTCATCTTCTTGTACTTTCTCCCTTCCTCTTGTCTCCTTTATCTAATCTCCTATCTCACTCTTTCTACCTTCAAGTTCAAGTTGCAGGTTGCAATTTGTCCAATGTGTCCCCATCCCCCTTTTCCAGACAATCTCTCTAAAGCCCGCCTCCATGTTTACATTCCCCTCTCCATATTTGGAGAGCTCAAGGTCCTTATGCTTTGTTTGCTTTTTGTTTTTGTTTTTTTGGTGTGTGTGTTTTTTTCCCTTGAAAGTGCAATATGTGTGTTGTACACACTTTTCCACCTGTGTGTTCGTGTGTGTGTGTGTGTGCGTGTGTGTGTGCGTGTGCGTGTGTGTGTGCGTGTGTGTGTGTGTGTGTGTGTGT